CAATGCTTGTTTTAAGTCTATCTTACATCACAAATAGGTTTTGTGCTAACACTTGGCGCAAACACATTGCCAGTTCAAACCGGGATGTTTACTCTCCTGGTACTCCTCGTCTACAATGTGAAACGCACGAAGGCTGAATGGTGAGGCGAAGTTGTTCCACCCGTGATCTGCCATCCAAGGTTGTAACAGAGGCATAATGGGAGAAAGACGACGGTTGTGGATTAGCATTGCGTGAACGATATGTGTGTATGCCGAGTGTTTGTGTATGTGGAGCTCCTGCACTGTGTGTTTACATACTGTGCCTCTTGTGCTTCCCCAATGCCTTAGCTCAATGTGAAATCACACACTTGACACCAATAAAGCTGTTTCAGATACATTGTAGGCGTGGAAATGGCATAACTTTGTTGCAGTGCGATCAAAACTAAGTCCATCTAAATTACTTTAGAAAGAGTGTGTGAACAGGTAAAAGTACACTTTTTATGTTAATTTTTTTGTCCACTTTTTCTTATCTTTCTGCTGATACAAAAGAACAAAGTCATCACTCCCTGGATTTGGCTCTGAGTCCGTGGACAGCCTGTGTTCGGCTCCATCCTGTCTCTGTGTGGAGCCAGAGGGTGAAGAAGGCATTGGGATTCTGATAAGAAAGTCTGGGTATTCCCTCTGCTGAGCACACATGCACACTTACAGTACACACACATGCAATGCAAAGACCACAGGGGTATTTCATCAGACTGGGATCACCATGTCTTCAGTTTGGTCTGCACTGCCAGCTTCAATCTACTATAGATCTGATCCAGCCACCCATGTGACACAGATCTGACCTGTTCACTGTGTGCACAGATGAACAGCCCTTCAATATCTGTGTCAGAATACATCCTGGAGGAAGCACAACTGTATTGGATTCAGCCATTTGACTTAAAGCAGTATGTCTGCAGTAACAGAGCTGCCAATTTAAGCACTTAAAGCTGCAGTAGAATGTTTACAGTCATTATAACCAAGCAGGCAGGGCTGTATGTTTAATGTGACTTCAAAGAGCTACAGAAATTCTATAAAGGTCAAAATCCTTTTTGTCATTAACAACAAAAAACACAAGTGTTGTTGCTGTTTGACATAAGAATTGTTGTTTTTTTTGTCCATTTATTTGGCAGTGGAAACAGAAATTCTGCAGCCTGAATGTGTTGGCGAAAAATCTTAGATGTGAGGTGGCGAGACTAATGGAAATGTGATGGACCGATGTCACTACCGGCAACTTGTTTGTTTACGGCCTCTGAGCCTTGTATTGATCTGATTACAAGGTTATCAATTTCAAGTGAAGGAAATGATGGCCCTGTGATGTCACCCTTAACTACCCTGATAAAAAGGGGTTTTGCTACTACTCCAAAAATGGAGGAATATGCATCACTTATTTTTGTTGCACGGCTTTTATTGCGGTGCTCTGCGAAGTGCTCCGAGATAACTGGTTTCTTTGTTGTTAGAGGGTGAAAGAGAAGCAGTTCAAAATGGTGTCCAATTTCATCTCTAAGCCGTCTGGTTCGCTTAACAATGAATGATTGTATTCAAAGAGAATCTAAAAAGATGCCCACAGTTACAGAGCAGTAAAAAAACAGGCGTAGAAGGAGAATATTAATGACACTGGATTTTTTTTTTTTTGTAGACATTAAGATTTGCGTTGTAGCAAAATACACACTTACACACACACACACTTACACACATACTACTGCTGCACAATAAGTCCCTGATGAGCTGTGGGCAGAGGTCTTGGAGAGGAAAGAGGAAAAGAGGAGCTGATGCATTTCCTCTGGACACACACTGTTTGGTTGGCGTGGGTGATTTGTCATGCAAGTCCTAAGTGTGTCTGTGTGAATGTAAGACACTCTCACACTCGAACATTGTTAAGTGCTGGTGCTGATGGTAATTTGATATGTAATATGCCCCACGCTGGGCAACAGCAGCACAAGAGCAGGGTCCACGTCTCAAGCGGCCCGTGTGTTTACTGTCCACAGCCGCCCCCGTCCCCCAGCATGTCCTCATTCTGTCAAAAGCCTTTTGTCTTTCATGAGAATTCATCACACTTTTCATCATGTCTTTTGTTTTCAAGGGCAACCTTTAATATCTTGTTTTTAATGTTAATTTTTTATATAGGTCAATGTCATACCCCATATTTACAATGTACTTCCCGACCTTTGAAATACTTTTTTTTTTTAAACAACAGAAAATACCTGAAAAACATTACAAAACAAACAAACTCAACAATACATGTATTCAAAAGAAAAAGCACAGCACAGACTAAATCAAAACACGTCCAATATCATTATAGTGTGTAGGATGCACATTTTCAAACAAGAACACGTCATGTTATAGTGTAACGGCATATTTGAGTTGATTGCTCGAACTAGTTTGCAGGCTCTGATTTGTTAAAAAAAAAAAAAAAATGCTACAAGTATTGGGAAATGTTTATCATCATGTAATAGCTGATATCACGCGGGAGTATGGAGTAAGACAGCTACTACTGCAACAGCAAGAAAGAGACAGAAAAAAAGAACTTAAGTGGCTCCTTTCAAAATATCATTAGCAGACGTCCAACCAATCACAGAACAGTTTGATTGGTTTCTCCTGCCCCTGAGTTATCATACATCAGTCGAACCCACAAATTACTGAGTTCATTCAGAGTGCTGGATGCTGAAGCTGCATTCAGTGAAGATGATTGCCAGATTCAAATTCAAGATGTCTACATGGTCAGAGAGTATATTAGACTGACGGCGATGATGGATGCCAGAGGCTGGATACCGGATCTCAATCAGCCGATCACTCTATCAGGATTAGTCTAATAGACCTTTTATAATTCTGAATATACCCTCTGGGAATTCAAGCTTACTTATCATGCGTAGCTTGGCCATACCAAAAGGAAGAGCGTTCTCTCTACATCAAGAAAACGCGTTGGATATCATTATAGAGAGAGTGTGGAGAAATCATAACATTAGAAAGGATGTTCTGTACTTCAGGACAAAAGGCACGTCATTAGTCTTTGGTTGAACAATCTCAATATTTGAACATTTAAATGTCTTTCCAGGGTAGCACATACATTACCTTTTTTGTAAGCGACAATTAAGATCCACCTGTTTGCCTGGAAACACAAGCGTGGCTTCAAGATTTTCCAGCCCGTTTGTGGAAGAACAGGCACGGCAGACAGACGGATGAGAACAGTGCAGAACTGATCAGCAGAACAATCATTCTTCTGGGAGGCCCGACGTCGCCTCATACAGGAAGAGAGGGATTCATAAACATTCATCAAGTCAAGAGAAGGGAAGGCTGTGTTTGTGTGTGCTAATGGTGTAGACAGATAAATACAGTAAACGGTGTACAGCGAAAGAGACACACAGCCTCTCTTGTTGACAGTTGGAGCACACCTGCGCGCGAGGCCACACCTTGTCTGCCGCTGTTTGCACACAGCAGTCTATTGTGCCACCAATTCTGACTGCTTTAGATTCATTTGACTTACATTATTATATATTACTTTAGAATTTCAGACATCTGACAGTAAAATGATGGGGTCGTCTTATGATTCTGTCTACTTGTAGATCTGTCAAAATGGTCAATATTATCTTAAAGGTGCCTTCAATGACTGTTGGTTTATAGAAGTATTAACCCTGCTGCCTTTGATAGCAGTAGAAAATCTGTCGGTATTTGACATGACCAGAAATAGAATTTATTTTTCGTGTGGGGGTAACTGTCTGAAATAGCTCTTCAAAGGAGCCTTTGAACTTGGCTTTTAAACGCTAGTGATACAGTAGCAGTTTGTTAAAATGTCAAAAACACTTTTCTGATTTTGTAGGAGCCTAAAGCAAACAGTTATGTGGAACATTAACATCAATATTACATCACCCTGACTGTTTCCTACATCTGTGCGTTGGCACCCAAAAATGCATGTGGACCTAATACAGAGAGGAATGCACATGAAAGGGTGTTACGTGCAGTGTGAGGTCACACAGGGGCATGGCATGGCCAACAGAGCAGCAACAGCATGTTGGAGCAGACTGCTGGACAAGTTCTCCAAAACACACACACACACACACACACACACACACACACACACACACACACACACACACACACACACACACACAGTAGCACACAAGTTATAATTTTAATAGGCAAAATAAGCAACAATGAAAAACAGACAAACTGTGTTGGCAAACTCAAATACACAGACAGCCAGACAGACAGACAGACAGACACACACACACACACACACACACACACACACACACACACACACACACACACACACACACACACACACATTCATAGCCATGTAATTAATCCAGGAAATTAAAATGTGATATCACCATTATTAAAAAACCACTTCTCCCCAAGTTTAAATCTATGAATATTCTAATTGCTTCCTTCAGGGCCTTCTTCTTCAATTGGACATGGTATTATTCCTCCATTTTTTTTTTTTTACTTATTGATAGCAATGAGCAATGCAGGACTTTCAATGTCTGAAGCCGGCTTTATTACCCAGGGTTGCATCATTTTCCAGGAGAAGAAAATTAAGATTAATTCAGTCTTTGTGCGGACTGGAAAGGCTGCCTTCACGGGCTCTAACTGACTCTGTTAAGGCAAGTTAAACCTTTGATGGCCTCACAGTCTGACCTTTGGGAACGAGTTAGCTTCATTCATTAAGTCCTAGTTGTAATCAGCCACTGTGTGACCTTATATCCAAGTTTGATTCCAACATCGATCAGTGTACAGTCCGTTTGCTAACTTAATTGTTAATGACGTTACAGGGACAGATGTTAGGCTACAGTTTGAGTAATGTTCTCTGAAGCGTCCCATATGCTGGATTTGCTTTTTGTATTGTAGGAGTAGGAGGAGTCGCTTTCCTGTGATTGTCTGCCTACTCTCTCTCTCTCTCTCTCTCTCCCCTCCCCTTTCTCTCACTCCCCCTCTCTCTCTCTCTCTCTCTCTCTCGCTCTCACTGTGCTTCATTCCCTCTCGTTTTTCCAAACTTGAATATTCCGCTTGCCTGGGAGCTTTCGCCAGCGGAGCAGTGCAGCCAGCTGACTGACACTGAACGTATACCGGGCTGATTGTTTTTCCTGCGCCGTGCTGCGCCGTTTGGATCACACTTTAGGGGGAGACGGAATCATCAAGAGTATCAGCTTCTTCCTGCCTTTCTTCCAACTTAATTTCGGGCTATTTTTCAAGATGACAGAAGAAAAGAGTGTTCGGCATGTAAAGCTGGTAGGTGACTGAATGAGACCCCTCCCCTCTACGCGCAGAGGTGTCTGGCTTGGTCTGTCTGTGTCGGGGTTCAGCGCACAGACGCGCCGGGGTGAGAGGCGCCCGGGGATTGAAACTGGAACTGGAAGCTTATTTATTTTCAGTTTTTATTAGGCTCTTCGTGATATGTTCTCTGTAAGCTTTTCGTTCAGTGGACTGAATACAAATGCGTGAATTCGGCTGCTGGTATCGGCTAAGCTTAAACTTAGACACTCTGCTGTGTGAAGAGGGATTCTCGTGTGTTTTCATGTCTACAGACAAGCGGACCCAAACTGATATAGATTCAATTTGATGATAGAATGGGAAAACGGGTCTGCATTCTGTCTTGTGTCCTGGGAGGCACAATGTTTGTTGTGTAATTAATTAGAGAAATCATTTTTTCTCCCCTGTAACTCTCATAAGAAGACCGCGGGGAACCCTAGACCTAAGTTTGGGTAACCTCTGCTGCGCACAGCTTTCCTGACTGTTATTAGAATGATTTCAGCACAGATTCATGTTGTACTGCCATATATGCCTGGGAGATATATATACTTTTATATATTATATATATATATATATATATATATATATATACCTCTTTAAGCTTTTAGAGTTTTTCCAGTAATGTATTATTATTAATCAGATGTTTATTCATTCTTTCGCTCCTCACAGTTCTGATTGCAGTCTCACAGTAATTAAAGTTTGACAGAAGTGCACATGTCATGTTTAAGAGATGTAGACAATCTCTTTCCTATCTCATTATGTTCTTTCTGAAGCAATGATCACTGAGTCCAAATCAGATCTGCTGCTGGGTGGAGCAGTAAGCTCATGCCAAAAGAAAGAATGCCCCGTCAGAATACGATGAAATGCACAGAGAGTTGTCAGTAGAGCGGTGATGTGTCAGTACACATAATTCAGCTCATGGGTGGCTGAATGCCAAACATTGAACTCCCCCATGTTGTGACGAACCCGCTGAGCTCAGTTGAGCGAATTAGCTTGTTGTTGGACTGCTTTGAATGCCTCTGTATGCTGATGTGTAGGGTTGCCTTCACGACAAAGGTCTTTTGTTGTGAGGAACCCGAGTAGTTTGCTGCTTTTTTTTTTTATACTCAAATCGGGGAATGTTTGTTGTATATTTGGTCCTTCTTTACTCTTTCAGTGTTAGAGCAAAGCCAAACCATGATAATATAGACCGAGGGTTCAAACCCAGTCAGCCATGTGCACATCCTATAAGTGCACTGTCGTAGTTTACCTATTTCTGTCTTTTTTTATACCACAATGCCTTTAGGGATGTCCTGTCAAACCATAAGACAACAGGCCTCATCAGGCTGATTACACATCAGCACACTCATGTACGCTTCCATCTCAAACAGACATGGCAGTGCCCCAGGCTGCCACACACATCCGAAAGCCATACATTCTCTTTCCCCACTGTCTATCTTTAGGGTTGTTTTCCTGTGGTCTCTCTTTCTTTCATCTTCCCTCTCTTCCTGTCTCTCATTTGTCTCTCTCTTCAAATACCCATGCATCAATCATCGGTCTCCATCCTCTCCAGCTCTCCCAGTCCTTCTCTCTTCTCTAGCTCTGAAGAGTGGTGGTGGGGGGCTGCTCCCTGTCAGTGCTCCAAGGCACATTGCAAAGCAAAAACGCAAATGTTGTGTTTGCTTCACCTGTTCATTCTAGTCGCCAAGACAAACAAAATTGTTGTCCAGTTTGATCGAATCTAAAAGGTTAAGGGAGGTGAATTTAACATTGTTAACTGAGATAAATTTTAAATCTTGGTTTCTTTTAGCAGTTATAGTTGTCATTGAAAGAAGATTAATTTTTAAGGTATGACATTGCAATCTTGGTGCAACATTAAGGGGTTAACTCGTATCCAGAACCTTTCCCTTTATGCAAAATTAGGAAGCTATCCTGAAAATGTTTGACTACTTATTACAATTACTGCATTGAGTCTTTTTAGCACAAGTGCAACAATCTGACTTTAAAAGCTTGTTAATGAGACGGCAAAGACATGTATTTGCTCTCATTTTGACCTTTCTTTCCCCCCCATGTTTCTGATTGTCTGAAAAACACATTGGATTGCCCTCTGGTCATTTTTAAATTAGGTTCTTAGTGACATTTAGCAGATTTATCAAGAGGTCTGCAAGCATTTATAAGATCATTATTTATATATTTTCCCTCACCTTTACCCAAGTCCTCAAAAGACCTTGAATACTTTTAAATGAAGTCCAAACGTTCAGAGGCTCAGAAAGAAACCCAGTTAGGCAGACCGGTGCTCTGAGAGGACTTTTTTCATCTCCATTTCAGAGGGGACCTAAGTCGTATGTCTTATTCCAAGTGGCATTAAAAAGAAGGTTTTGAAAGTCTTCCATTGACCTTGATTAAACTTTGAAGCGGACAATCTGAAGTCGGTTCTGCTGCGAGGTGTGTGCTAGATGAGGTGGTCAGTTTAATGCAGCTGACACACATACAAAGAGAGGCAATGAATCTGCACCCCTGGAGTTTTAAAATCACAGACCTCTACTCCATATTTAACCATTGGTCACAGTGTCAGAGCATTCTGCAGCACCTCTAGACCACAGCGATTGCACAAATTCTTCCTAACGGCTCAGATAAATCATCTGAGAGAGCAGACAGGTCCAGCTAATAAGCAGTACTCTCCTGAGTTTTTACCCTCGGCCTCATTGTTTGTTCAAATACAGACGATAAATGAGCTCGGAGACTTCTTCTGTATTGGCAAAGAATGCGCGGAGGAATGCTTTGGTGAAAATATGCTGTTATGTTTCTGTGTTATGCTACTGTGGCAGGATGGAATGTGATTATTTAGATTTGTCTATTTAGTTTTACTCTTTGACATTCTGATCGATACAAAACTGATGCTGGAAGCATTGTAGTCATCATAATCCAGTACTAAATGCTCTCTTCTGCTGTTTTCATTTGTATAAAGCAGCTGCCAATAAGTGCATTTTGCAGAACTGTGACTTTGTATCTGCAGAGAATCTGTAACAGGCTTCTGTTAGCACTGCAACCATGCAAAAAGGAATGTAGGTATAATCTGAAGTGTCAAACAGGTGGAACAAGACTTTCCTGGGCCCCAAGCAGCCCTGTTTCAGGAAAGACTTAACATGTTCTTGTTGCAAATCATTTAATACAAAAGAAATACAACAATGCATCACAAATGGTTGAAATAACTGGCAACCAAAAGATGTGGTCTGTATATTATTCATATTAGTCTGTTAAAGACATGGTTCATATTTGTTGGTGTGAACAATTTTCTAATTTTTCTAATTTTATACTTGTAATAAGTTTGGAGGTTAAATTCTGTTAAGTGAAGGCTGTGCTGATTACTTAAGGTATGTATTCAGTCTCAATGTGACTACTTATGCGGAGCATAGAGGAGTTTGTGTGTGATATGGAATTGATCAAGGGAGTTAGTGTGGGAGTCTTTGCAGACACAGTGTGGATGCATGGATGCTGTGACAGATTGCCTCCTGTTTTTGTCTCCACACTCCTTTGATCTCTTCATTGCTCTGAGTGCAATGAAGGTCCCTGCCAAGAGACGTGTAGCCTGTCTCCCTGTTAGATTTCCCCCTGCATGTAGATCAGCAAAGAGAAGTCATGCATGGTACCATATCCTCCGCCTCAAAAAACGAAACAACAAAAGTGTAATTTTTGGGTGTTCAGCTTTACCTTTCTGCTATTTGAACCCACGTTTAGACTAGGACTGAACAGCTGCACCAAGCTGCTCATCTGGAGTGCAACACAGTATGCAGAAACTACATGGCCTAAAAATCAGCCTACATGACTTTGCTTACATGGTATGAGGTATTCAAAGTTACCATGCATTAGTTGAAAGTTAAAAAAGATTGCTCTGGCAACTATCAATAAATATTTGCTCTTGCTGGAGACATCATAGACTTTAATTGCCTTCATCTTGGTCAGTATTTAACCAATGAGGGCTGCAAACCAAATGTGTTTTTGTCCCCCATAATTATCTGATCTCAATCCTATAATTGCTAAAACCTGCTATAATTCTCAATCGATACTTTGTGGATGTTTTCCAGACTCATTGCTCTGAGCAGAAACTGAGCTTGCGAATGTGTAAGGTGCAAACATTGATTGTGGATCTATTTAGGAAGAAAACTTCGGACCAAGAACTCACTGCAGGACCAACTAAGGGAATATCGATTTCCCATTGCCTTAATATACAAAACACATTCTAAGCAAAATCCTAAGTACTCTGTCTGAACTTGATCATATGATAAGAACCATTGTTTAGGATATAAATTTGCGTAGAGGCATAGTTAGCTTGGATAAAAGTTATTCACAATAAGGCGTGTAGCTGACCTGATTGAAAGACAGACGCGATGTAAAGGTTTGTCAAGAGGCTTGCAACTATAGGAGGGTAAAAAATAGTTTTATGTAAAAATGGAGATTCTTGTGAGTTTTAAAATAGATTCACCACTTTCAAAAAACTTTTTTTTTTTTTTGGCTAATTTGTCACTCCCTGCTAAGTGCTAAGGCTAGATCTCTTACTCAGAATGTCAAATGGAGCAGCAAGAAATTCAGCCAGTCTCGCAGATGACTGGAGTAGATCCTGAAGTATGTACTTTGAATCCGGAATCCAGAATCGTTTTGAATCGAAAATAGATTCTGAATCGCTACCCCAAGGATCGAAATCGAATGAATTTGTGATACTCCCAAAGGTTAGCCTGTCATTAGGTTGACTGAAAGTTAGGTCGAGAGATCATTTCCAGCATGGTGACCACCATCAATGTGACTCCAAAACCCCCTGCAGTAACAGATGGGTGACGTCATTCAGCCTTCTATTAATATTTACAGTCTTTGCTTATTACACAGATTATAGGACACTGTATGAAATGATCAAAAGACTTGGTGAACATTTCCACATGAGGCATAAAGGCCTACGCTCAATAATCAATTAAAACTCAAGACACCTGACAGGATGTATGTTGACT